CGGTTGAGTGCAGTGACTAGCCAGCCGTATACAGGTGCCATACACGACCTACTCACCGTTACATGTACTGGCACTCCGAGGGCAGCTCGGATTTTACATCCACGAAAGTGACATGAAGTCCACGTTAAGGGGCCACTGCCTCCTGACTGTCAGTCTCCCAGCCCCTCCAAGTTGCCTGGTCTGTTTACAGCCTTCTAAGCCACTATGTGCTTAGTCGGTTGTAAAGACTAACCAGACTACCTATCAAATTTTTAATTTTCGGAGAAATTAATGGGCTAACTTGAAGTGAATCATTCGGAGTTAAAGTTTGCAGGCTCAATTCAAAAGTGTATATAAATATTGAACGCGATATTTTCAACTACTAGTAGGCAATCAGTAGTGTACAGATATTGCATCATTTACCCTACTTCGCAGTCGTTGCCTACCTGCCACACAGACTCGACTCCCCCCACTTTGAACTGGCGTAATAGTATTGCTAGTTTCGAGAGCCCACCTCTAGCAGATAACCATAAGCAGCACGCGCTGTGGCCAGACCTTGGACGGTCTAAATCGGAAACGAGATTTTTTAGGAAAATGGGAAAAAAGCCTTGCTGACAGTGTGTACTGAGCCCCTTGGAAACAGATTAAACAACTAGTTGACAGTGGTAGAGGTGCTGGGAGCCCACTGATCGCTTTATAGAACACATCTGTTCCGCTGTGCTATTCTAGTTTCCCTGATCTTTGTCGATCATGCTATTCTGCCTATAAAATACTAGCCGTTGGGCGGGACCCGAGATCGAACCATAGGACACGAACGAACGAGTGTTTTCCTTAAAGCGATCAGCAGGCGTCCCCCACCACTGTCCATATGCCCAATCGAAAGGACACCCAGCCAGTGGCTCAATGAGTAGGGCACTGAACTTCTAAAAACCAGATCGCGAGTTCGAGCCCCAGACGTTGCACTATCCGGGGTGGCTATGGCTGATTGATTGTCCTACTTTGTATTTTTTTAGGCTGCAACCATACCGGATCTAGCCGGCTTCGGTACTGTTATCGGTCATAGTTTTTTCATGAGTTTTACTGTGAATTGCGAGTACGGGCGGGTCCTCAGCAGCCGTTCATATTGTTTGTTCCACGTTGTCTCCCCTAGCGCTTTAGAGCCTAACCACAAGGCAGCGGTGGCGAGCGAACTTATTTATTGGCGGTTCACAGTCGTCATGTCACAGTGTCATCAT